TTAATAAATATAATTTACTTCAGAAGAAATAATTCAAAAAACAATAAAACTGTTTATATGTAATACTTTCTATAGAATAAATAAACTCAGAAGTCTGCTTGGCATAATAAAGTAGTTAGTAGACTGTACACTTAGTGGATTGAGGCGCTACATCAGAAAGAAGGTTCGATCAGTGGTCTGTATTCATTAATATTTAGAAAAAAGAATACTTCTTAATCCAAAAGATTCTTTAAAAGGATAAAACTGCCTATTAATGATCACAAACAATAATTTTTTATTGGTTGCAGCAGTGAAAATCAAGTTAGATATAATTATCTGATTTTTGTTTTGTGAATTTCTACAAAAGATGTAGTTGAAATGTATAATTTGAACTGTAGAATTACGTTATCTTTTATAAAAATAATATAAAGACACTTGAACTGTTCAATGACTTGTCATTACCAAAATTGTTTTCAAGATGATGGCATTAACTGAGGTGTTTTCAGCAGTATTTTTTAAGTAATTTGTCTCAGGAGATCTGAAAACATTCCTTAGCTAAATTTATTGCTCCGAGGTTCGTTATAAGTCAACAAAAGATATCGTGTAGTACATTGGTGTCAACAGTATCGGTCTACAAAGCCTAGGCTATCTCCGATGATCTCATTATTCTAAACTTTCCACTCCTTGATTAAAAAAAATGTGATTTTATGCACTGACAAAATACTGATGTGGTACACAATGTGCAATAGATTACATTCAACGAATAATTACATAGTATAACTCGCAATAAAATTGTCTACTAGATTTAGGATCACTTTATCAATGAAATCCCTTGATGGTTCACAGGCTTCCAATAAGTAACGATTTTTACTAACCCTGATGGAAACACATATGAGATACTCAAACTGTCCGCTTTTAGTTTAACTCAAATGTAAGTGGAATGTGCTCAGTTTGATCTACATATATTCAACTGACTATTTTAATTTTTTTAAAAACAGTCTATATGAACAAGTGGAACTACATAGTAATAACTGAAATTGTTAAAATGAATTCAGTGTCACAAATCCTATTAGGAGTGAACCTTACCGATTCTATTAACAAATGGTTCCACAATAGTTATATCTCGTTACACTTTAGTCTGTTTTCTAAAACATCACTACTTGACCAATATCCAACTTCCTTGTGTTCTTGTTTACCGAAAGTTGACTCACAGGAAACAAAAACAAGAAACTAATTATAAATTCTGTTTATAGACGGATGTTAGTGCTTAAATACCTAATTTATCTCATCATAGATTATGAAGTCTGTAGTAATTTATTCAACCTAGAGTCAATTATTAGTCATAACAAACTCAACTACCTTAATGGCCAAATGTGATTTATTACCCTTATTTACGGAAACAGATAAATCAACTCAGGTGATATGTTTATTGAACAGCAGAGTACCATACAAAAGTAGTGTCTTAACTAAGTAAATTACATTCTTTTAATGAGACAGAAAAATCTTCTGTTGCAATGTTTACAAGAAAAGCCACTTTACAAATGTCAGTAGTACAAGTTGATTGACGAGAAACGCTACTTGACTGATTTAAGTTAGGTTGTCTGTCAATGCTCTTAATGAAATCTTCAAATAGTTTCAGTGATTGTCACAAAAATATTACTTTCACTAGATTTGACTAGGTAAAACCGTTTAAATTAGTCTTATATTATACAGTCAGTCTTCAATACTATTTAAACTTCAGGTAACTTTTCATCGCGATGCACTTCACTCGGGCTTTCAGTGATTAAATTTAATCGTGTTTGTTGACCCTCGTGTCCAAAGTCTATTGAAAAGCACCAAGGAATTAATTTGCCATCAGAGTATCAAGAAAATTCCCCTTATAAAGGAACTTAATTCCAGAAACTGCATTCATATTCACAGCAAAACTAAAAATCGTCTTTGCATCAGTAAACAAAATATGATTTAATCTCTCTTAATGTTATCTTTTAATTAACAACAAAAATGATCTAGAAAAAAATATTAATTTAAGTATAACCTTAAGGTCATATATTCACCATAATAAATTTAGCTTCTGAGCGCTTTGCTTGAATTGTGATAAGAAAAATTACTTGATAATGAAGCTAAATCGTAGAATATAGTACCGTTTAAAATATGAGAATTAAATAACTTTCTCTTTGTGTGTAGATGTAGTTTTTCATGGTGAAAAAGAGGATCCTGAAAGGCATTAGAACTAAGAAATCCATTTTTCTAAAACTGTAATTTTATAGCATTCACAAAATAGAGCTCATTTCTTGAGTCATGTTCCGATTTAAATTTTTTTCCATTTGTAATTATCTTTCTTTGTGAATCAGTGTCACTGCTTAGGAAGACCATTTCAATAAGTATACTCACCTCTGCATATAGTATTGCATAATTAGACTTTCTGATCAACATTGTCTAGCATTTTGTAATCAATTAGTTCCCGTTCACACATTTACGCCGACCCGATTGTGCATTAACAAACAGGAAGTAAATACTTCTAATACGTCGAAGATGTGAGCACAAAATGTCTGTGCCGCATTTCTGGAATTGCCTTATTATATTTCGTAATAATTTACTACAAATGATTGATTTTAAGCAGAGAAAAATCAACTACAACAGTGAGGTGTTTTAATGAAGGAATCACCTAAACTGGAAAAAATTCCTTTCAGCCATTAACATAGAAACTATTAGTGTTAAGAAAGAGTTGACGAAAATCAAAAACTAAACTAATACAGGAAAAAAAGTGATTTAGAAATTTGTTTAATCAAAGTTGCAATAAACCAAACTATGCATTCCTAAAGAATTTAACACCATCTTTGCAATACTGCAGGCACTTGGATCTTCTTTGCACAAGAAGACCGATATTTGTGAGTAGCGCTAACCACTGCGTAAACCTACCCCGTTCTATGTTTTTCCTTGAATTACGTGATATTGCAAGTAACCTTTTTTCTGTGAAAACGGTTTTCCAAGTCTTTTGAATATCACTGCAGCTATTCATCGTGTACATAATTTGCATACCGTCTCAGCATTACACCGTACTCGATAATCATGTTTATTACTTTGGATATAGATGGAAATTGGTGAAACGATGCTTTTGGACTACAACTTAGGCCTTTTAAAACGTTGCACACGTTATATCACTCATCTTCCTGAAATCCTCTCTCAACTTCCGTGTGTATAAACACCTACTCTGAGGGGCTAACTGTAATAAAAACATGTCAATTGAAAATTTCATTGCCAATCTAACACCGTAAACAATTGTTGGTCTATCGTTGGAGTTAGAATACATCTTATTATGTATATATTCAACAACGTACTTGAAAAGAGTATTTCGCATAAGGTTTGGTTATTCGAACACGGAAGCAAAAGACCTGGTAATTTACCCGTTCAAGCCTGTTTAGTATATAGTTCTACATCGTTTTGTTATCATCCCATGACTTCTTTCAGCTGACTAATCACTGATGATATTTTTTTATTAAAATTCTCCCTTCCTAACATTTTAATCTCTATTTTAGACTTTCAGATTACGGTTCCCTCAGCTTACTCTTAAATTGCTTTCCAGGTAATTACACAGACACCCAGTAACTCCGTTAACAATGTAATAGTACATTCCCCCAACAATTCTTGATGATCAGATAAGCATATATACATGCAGTAACTATGAATGCATTAGCGCAGCCTTTGAATGATGTGTTGTAAATTTTTATCACTTAACTTTTTCGTCAGTTTTTGACATCCAAGCAACGCCTGGGACCACCTGCTGAGTACTAAGGAGGTCAGGGGCAAAGTAAACCACTAAGAAAACAGTTTAAGTGACAAAACATTCAATATCAACTCAGTAATCCATCTGAGATTTATATATACCTATCGGTGAGTGAAGCAGATTCAATTCATCTAGGAAAACTCGTCTCTTCATGGTTCCAGACAGGTCTGGCTGAAGAGTATTGGCAGGTACGAAACTCAAAATCGAGAGATTCTTGACGATTGATCCTCAACACCTAACACATTACTATTGTATCCATTCAACGTAAAAATCCTAGTGATTAAAGAAGAAAGGTTTCCTGAATTTATTATACTAAACTGTGATTTAGTTAGAAAACTAAATATCCTAGGAGAAAAAACCAAAATCTTTATTCTTATTTCAGTAAGCTCTTGTTATTTTGATTTACTTTTCCATTCTGAGCATTTAGGTCTTTAAAACACAGCTGGAGTTAAATAGGTAAATGTGACAGAGACTTCTATATTCTTACCAACATCTACGACATAGTCATTTACTTAATAATATTAAGAAATTAATTTCTCGCCTTTCTAGAAGTTATTCAATTTGATGTTTACCATGAATTATATGTTTGGTAGCTCGATGTTACTAGTTCTATGATAAGGATTTTGATTATCACTTTCGAAGAAAAGAACCTCGAAGTAGTGCAGTTAACTCTTGAATTTGGAGTGAAAATAGCAGTCACTTAGATCCTTGAATATACCAGAGAATGTTGTCATCTAAATAAATTTGTAATATTACTTTACGTTTACAAAGCAAAATCTTGACACCAGCAAAAAGTATATCTCCTTACCAATGCTTAAACGTACTCCTCACTCCAAAGTAATTAACTCAAAAACTTGACACCTCCAACAGAGCTAGAACATTTGGGTTTTCAGGCACATAAAAAATCTGAGGATATTTCAACACTGATAACTGAATACTAAATATCTTACTAACCCTAGGCAAGTATAGTTAATGAGTCAAAAAAAGATGACTTTTTGTTACAACAGGTGATGAATACTAACACCATAAACTGCTGATATGGAAACGTTCTCATCGTAGAAACCATTATTTCAATAAATTTCATCTATTTATAAATGTTTAATTCACTGACATTAAACAGTTGTGTTATGAACTTATTCATATGAGTAACTGCATAAAATATGATTTACCCCAAAGTATATATCCGACTAAACATTTTGCCATGTAAGCAAAAACTTAAAATAATCAACTAACTAACCTGATCATTTTGAATATCAATATCTATGTTGGCCAACAGCTGAAAAGTATTCTGTTGAATCCAGTATGAAATAACCGGTTTAAACCATGAATACCAGTCAAATTCAGTTGATTTCTCTTGTTCGCTATGTGAAGGAGATAACAGTAAGTAAATAAAATAATTTGGAGATAAAACAACCAAAGGTATGGGTAGATAACTATTGTTTTTGTTTACTAAGCATACGACGTTTCCTATGCCTCATGCGAACTTACGTACAGATAAAACAACTTGAATGTATCATACTAACAAGCTGTTATTTGGTGGTGGTGAATACAGCACATAGATTTGGTTGTTTGCCTTAAACAACATTAGAAAACTAGAAGTCAACAATAGAAACGAAAGCAATAATAACGATATTAGTCTTTCACCTTATGAACATTTACTTAAATAAAAACAAACTTTGTAATATATATTGAACAGCAATGAACTTTTCAAAGTTGGCGTCAAAATCACGAAAATTCTAAACTAGTTGATAATAGGAATACTTATTTATAGGTGGCATTTTATTAATTGTTTTAAGGGACCCAATATGAGATTATGAATATCGTATCGACAAGTCAGGGGAGTTTGAATCACTAAGTAGACTAATATGAAGCTCCTTTTAACTTCAGTTAAGCGCGTATCAGCACAAGCATCATCGTCGTTTGTCTGTAAACTCAAGGACATTAGTAACTTCAGTATATATCATTCAACTTTATAGCTAAAAACTATATCACCAAGGTATTCAATTGATATGTAACTACAGATTGAACATTATAGACAATCTGAAATATACAAAATCATATCTTGCAGGAGAATTCCAAATCGACCCTTCAAAAATGAATTAGGTCTGCAGGCAGTATTACTGGGACATTAAAATTAAATTCTAGTTGAGTAAATATACCATAGATAGTCAATCCTCTGTTCATTATCTGACAACTTTATACAATAGTCGTGTTTCCAAACAGTGAATAGAAGGATTTTTTTAAAAATGGATGATAACTACTGATTTGAAATAAACTTTGACTAGCTTAGAATGCAACGAAAGAGGTTTTCGCAAGTGGCCCTTATGACTGTGTCAAATATATTTATTTAAAGTTTCCCATTTCATGACTTAAACTCAGCAGCCTTCGGTTTTTAACATTCATTCCACCATAATAAATAATTGCATTTAATGAGTTATTACTCCAATGATTTCTCTAGTCTGTCAGTAAACTTTATATCTAGTTTCCATGAAATAACTAAGGTGATATTGGATTAGCTTTTTACTTCCGTGATTTAAGTAGTATACCAATGCAAGTGTAAAGATATTTTTCCTGTTTCATGAGGTAAACAAATCCAGTTAAAATTGAGTTTAACATAGTGTAGGCAACAGTGAAGATAATAGTTTCCGTGGTTACACTTATAAACAAATGTGGGTCACAAGTCTTTTTTTCTGTACTTAAGGTAATGGTGCAAATGAAAGCCAGAGATCACGTGCATTTTTACAGTTAGCTTGCATTTGTTTACTATTATAAACTTCTTTTTGTCTGTAAATCTAAAAGTGATGACAATAATCTCTGAATAAAACAGAAAAGGAATTCTGTTGTAAAGTAACCTATAGTTTACCATAGAAAAGTAAGATACCTTTGACAAACCATTGGTTATTCTTAGGAATTCTGTGTGGGCCAGTGTAAGATTTAGTTAACTTTAGGACCAGATAATCTGCTCCACACAGTAACCAAATAATAGAATTTTACTTCTGAATCGTATAAGGGTAGGTGATATTTAAACAGAGGGGTTATTTAAAAAATTGACATCATCTTTATATTAAATAAGCCCAATTTACAAATTTCTATGAATTCTGTTAATAAACCGTCTACTAATGACAAGAATAACTATACATCACATTCTAAGAAAAACATTTATTACTCAATATTCTAATTAAGTTTACTTTGAAAGTGATTATTGTTTCTTGAATTTATTTTCAGTCAGCGCAATGCAGAACGTCAGCAGCAAAAAATAAAGTAACACGATACTAAAAAATTCCATAGTAGTCTTTCTCTTACACGTATCACACAGTGGAACAGTGTTACTTACTGGTGACTCTTGAATCAAAATGTATTCCTCACAATAATATCATGAAAATCACACCACCTTGTAGTATAGAAAGTAGCTTAGTCGTAACAGCGTTTGCTATTGCACATAGTTACATAACAGAATGGGATAGATTGACAACTTTTAAAAAAAACGTAGGTAGATGAAGAGAAAGAGATTGATAACTTCATTTATGTTTATCCAATCGACAAATGACCCGTGTAACATAAATGATTCAACATCAATTCCGAATACATGGAAAATCTTATTATCAGTTAAACCAAAGAATGGAAAACGGTAGAATTGTGGGGAAAATACTAGACCAGAAAGTTGGGTGATTACCTTTACAAGATTATAAGTGATAAATTCTGTTCTAAACTTCATCAGCAAGTAATACTGTTTCATAGTGTGATGCAAATACCATAGTGTTCAAACTCTTTGCTCATATTACTAAAAGTGACGAATTTCATTCACCCACAAGATGTGATGACAGTGGAGAGGCTTTTGTTTCCGCACTTACAACTCAAGGGAGATGCTGTATGTGAAATCTTATCACAAAGCTTAGCTACAGCAGTCAGTAGGACGTTTAATGCAGGTCAGCTTTTTGTATCATTCAGTAGTCTGCCAATGCTCAATTTGAGACTAAAGAATAGCCTACCTAATATTAGCTCTTCATCTTGCATATGTCAATTTAACTGTTCCTGTGAAACTAGCTACTGAAGGCATACGATCGGGTAGGTGCATCACTGGGTAAGAGAGCATTTGCCAGCTTGGTTCGGAGACGGCGAAGTGGAAGCAGTGAAAAGTTCATTCCTAGCGTATCTAAATGACACAGGGCATCACATAGATGTCAATCATCATATTCCAAAAACGATACCACACGTAGTTAGCCAACGCCTGCTCAACATATCGGAGGCTGTCGCAATAAGACTCTCAAGCCTGAACTTAGCATTCATAAGGAACATGTTCAAGCATTACTTTTCCCTTGACCATTAGCAAACTGAAGGTCACTCATACCTTTTTATTCGTTGTCTTTTTGTTCACTATCATATCATTCATCTTCGTATCATCAAAATATTGACTAATTCAAAAAAAAATCGATTTCCTTACAATCCTTAAATCTCAGTCCATTTTGAAAATGTGTCTGCCCCTACATGGCTTGACTTCAGGCTGTAGAATGTGGAGAGAATTTATTGAAAAGAAAATTCGTCGTTCAAATTGTTGCCTTTTGTCAAAATTATGGGAATCTTTAGTTGTATGAAGTTCATGAACTAGTGCGAAGTGAAAATGAAAAATAAGTTTTGAAGTGGTCAATTTATTGTCACTTAAAAATGGAATACTATACAATAAAAGAAGCTTATCCCTCCTTTTTATTTGGTTGACTAGATATGTCAGATAATGAAAGACTTTAATGTATAGTAACGCCCATGTTTGTAGCTTCTTATTTCGATAATAATTACACATTCTGACTAATCATTTCAGAATATATTCTTTATTTCTTGATTTAAATTTGCGCTTATTTTGCAACACATAATTATTGGTCTTGAAACGTTGTGATACCTCCTAAGTAAGCGTCATGAATTGTTGTAATCACGTCTGTATGCCAAAATTTATTGAGTTATATAGTAAAAATTATCTGTGTAAAATCTTGCAAGCTTTTTCTCTTTGTAGGATAATAAGCTAGTTTTCTTAGAAAAGCTTTCTTTGGTTATAACTGTTAGACTAAATGTTATCTGAAGCGAAAATTTCAGTATCACTTGTACTGAACATGTTAACTAGAAGGCAGTTGAAAAGTTTACCTGAAACAGTATCAGCTTAATCAATATTTCCACCTCAAAATCTACATTTTGAGTTACAGTTTTTCTCTATCAAATCAGAAAATATTTTATCTGCTGATAAAGTAATGAAAAGGCTTTCCATATGAGAAAACAGTGTGAGATGAAGTTTGACTTTGAAATTAAAGTATGTGTTCTAGTGTTGGTTTAAAAACTGTAAATAATACTATGAATTATTATCGTTAGAAATGATGGACTCTGCTGTCCGATGGATAAATTCTACTTTGATTTTGGAATGTCTGATTAAGGAGAAACATCGCTCCAGAATAAACATTCCCTACTCACAAATAGCTTTCAGAGTGTTTCAGCTGGATATTGCTGTGATAAAGAAATAAATAGTGACAGTAAACTGATTTTTATCATTTTGTAATTGTAGGTTTGAGTGATCAGTTTGTCTGTTGATGAAAGAACATTTGAGTAGAAAACAATACTTCATCCCTTTCTCGATCAAATTCGTGTATGATTGACCTAATTTTGCATTATTTTAAATCGGAGCTTCTATGAAACGGATTTCAAAGAGGAAGGCATTTTGATTGCAACTAGTTTCTTACTGGTGATATGTGCATTCTTGCCTAATAAATCATGAAACGTAGGACAGTACTCTTACTTTATTATAATGAGGAATAAAGTACTAATATATGAACAATAACCGTTTATACAATAGTTGATACTACTGTGCACCCTTGTTGTATCATCATCTAGTCATGTTCAATTTCATTTATAAAAATGACTAGTTCAACACCATCAGAAACGTTGCAGGATCCAATGAAAAAGATAAGAAATTAATATACTTACGGGTATATCGTTTCATTATCCAGCATATTTTCAAACTTTTTAAGTAATAAATAAAGAACAAATAACAGTTTCACATCCATTGTTTTTCCTGACGACTCCTTTTGACTTGGTAAAGAACATTTAGTTTCTGTTTCTTGACTTGTTACTGGTAGTGTCAAGTACTGCAGTACATCGAGTTTGATATAATCTTGATGCAGCTAAAACAAAGTTATGACAAAAACTAAAATCACTAAAGTTACAAGCTGTTTAACAAGCTTAAAATGTACCAAAAGCATGCTGCCAAGAAAATATCGACTTGAAGAAAAATAAATTTATGGAATTACGTCCATATCCAAGTAAATCAGATTTAGAAATCATGTACACACTAGGTAGTTGCAATGACCATGGACCTTTGACGTAAAATGATGACGTTTTGGTGCATACAGCAGTCAATTAACCAACAGAAGTTGTCTCCACTTCATGAACCACAGAAGTTAAGGAAACCTTAAGATTTATGGAGCTGCATATTCAAAAACTATAGAATTGGTGTAAAATAAGTGACAAAATGGAATAAAGCTGGTTATGGCAAGTGTGAATTAAACTATTTTGTCAAAATGTAAATCAGTGTACTGAGAGGATTCGTCCATTATATTTAAAAATATATAAATAAAGCTGTGTAGTAAAATGTGCCAAATAACTGGGATATATAGTAAGTGACAACGTTCTTGATACTTTCATTGTTTTCATTTTCATTTGTGCATTACAGGAATCCCACAATGAAACAGTTTATCTACTGGATCAAATCTCAGATTCGATTGTTAATGACCACATCGAGGTCGTATTAACTGAGAACAATTAACTGTGGCCGAAAAATTTATCGAGTGATATTTCACTGTTTCACCTTGTGATTCACCTCATAAACAAACCAGGTTGGAACTAAAACACACCTGAGTGTTTATGTCCTACGCTTACCTTCATGTCATTATTACAACTGACTACAGCATGTAATATTCACAGTTTCGTATATACACGAATGACGGACGTCAATAACATGGTATTTCAGCTATTTCAGCAAACAGAAACGAGATAAAGAAAGACCCTGAAGGTATGTTTTACTTTACAGGTCATTTTCTAATTGATGCACAATATTCGTACAGTGCACACTGTTGACAACTGGTAATCATTAAGTATAATTATGTAAAATTGGTCGACTATGGTATTTAATATTAGGCCACCGAAAACAGTTGTCGTGACGTTTACGACGTTGACTACTGGTAAATATCGATGAATACGCAGTTCTGTCCACCACACATGAAATACCTATACAAGACTATTAATCTGAGTAAAAAAGGTATGCTAACAACCTGTGTGACAGTAAAATCACTTATCCAAGGTTACGGTATCGAGGACTACCATCATGAATACCAGAAATCCAAGTATATAATTATTTTGAAAGTTTTTGTAAAATTAATTACAGTCCATATCCTTCATTCAGAAATTTTCTTCTTAGACTGCATAACCACTTACGAGTATTACTTTAATGGGTGGTAAACGGAATAAATTATACATGATCATGATGAACAGACGGTTTTGATTTAAGTTAAGGATACTAAAATATACTTTTTGATGTAAACAGTAACAAACACGAAAGGATTTGTTCAAAAGCAACAGAAAACAAGCTACCAGGTTTTTTTTAAATGGGATTGTCAATTTACCTAGATGAAGTTCATCATTAAAAAAAAGTGCACTAAATGAGAATCACTGGCATCAAGAGATTAATTGCAAACCACGTAGTCAGATGAACTCGTTTCACTGCATATTTCATAGTGTGAAATGTGAATTTCAGGGACTTATACCGTTAATAGAAATAACTGGTAGACACTTTCCATGGGATTTTCCAGGAATCCATACGTAAAACTTAAAGTAAATTTTAGACTAACAAAATGTTCAGCAATCAGTAAATGCCTAGAAATCGGATGTGGTATGTCATTTCTAGGTGGTCCATAAAAAGATGGTAAGCACGTAAAGACACTTGTGAGAAAGTAAACACCAGGTACGGCAAATTTAATCCCTCTGTGGTAGCAGATGCACTGGCAAATAAACATTCAAATGATCCAGATTTATGACTTCTCTACGAACCAAGTTGTGTGAAATTTCATCCTCACCAACTATTGGAGGTTTTGTTTGTCACTATTGTGATACTCTATAAGAAACCATGGGACTCATCCAAGAGACAACATACTAGTAAAATCGCTTGTGCTAAGTAAGTGCACATTACAGGACAAGTCAAAAGTTGCAACACTTAAATGTTGATCACATCATATCACCAACAACTTATTCACTTTAATCTGGTTAACGAAATTGTTTGAAAATTATAAAATTCTCCCACTACTTGTCGCAACAAAAACTCGGATAGCTGAAAAAAGACTTTGTCTTAAATGAACTCACAGCATGTGCATACAACTTGTACATATTTGTAAATGCATCCAAATCAATATGTCTACAAGTGGAATAAAATTACACAATAATAACTTTTATGAATAACATCGTTGCATTCTAAAGGATAATATGTACAACTGTCAAACACGTTAAACAAGAAGTAGTCACAATCAGAAATAAAATCAACGATACACTGATCAGTTATGTTCCATGGGGGCAGATGCCTATCATAAACATATTTACAATAGTCTGGTGTTTTCTGAGTTTCAAAGTATACTTAAGAAAGTTTCACCATCAGTTTTCAAGTGATCATTAACAACAAATTTACTGGGTAATAACGTATGGTTCATGGTAATATGAATTTAAGGTAGAGGTTTTGCTCATCTTAGACAATAGTCGAGTGTAAGTCAGAGAAGAGATATTCATCACATTAACCTTCTTAGCCTTAAATTTCACTAAGATGACTCTCCTGTAGAGTCTCTGTTGTTGTGACGTTGTGATACGTTTCACCATCAAAATGCTTGATTATTAGTTGATTTGATAAATTGAAATGAGGCTACCAGCTCCTTTTTCATCAACTTTTCTTTCTTAAGCATCGTTAGTCGAAACCCAAAGATCAGAGAGCAAGAAAAAATTTCCATATTTATACTGAATTATGAATCTGCCATATCAAGAAGCTTTGGTAAATCTCAGAACATGTACACGCTTGAATCTTTCAATTCGAAATTAATAAGATAAATTGGTCTATAGTAGTCAGCACAAAGTGAAGCATGTGACTGCATTTTATAAACATGTTGCAACCTATATGATCAAGTTACACTACAGTTAAAACGTCTCATGTACTTCTACATTTGTCTACACCATGAATATGTGTGTAGTTGATGTAGAAATTCATCTTTCTGCAATTCAGTATTAGATTGTTCATTTGATTTGACACAGAATGATGCGGTATTACTTAGTGAATTACGTTTCTAGCAGACTTTATTAATCATATCCATATCAGAGTATTCATACGACTTTCAAACTTCCTTCCTATAGTCTAACAGTTTTTCATTCTTTTATTCTAATGGTAGTAAAGTTTTCCAGATATCTACAGTATCCGATGAGTCATTCCTGTTACATGTGTTAGGTGTCTGTTCAATGAACAAAGATTCTGCGATTAGTCAATCTTTCCACCTAGCTTTATTGGATTTTAGAAATATCACCCTTTTCCACCTCATAGCTTGATTATTAATCAGTGCATACAGAGTGATAGCCAAGTTTTCCTCTAGAATACTTATCTTAGTGGGGTCTATCATTGTGTGTTTCGTTAAGTTTTTGTGCTTTGCTATTCTAACTGACCAAGATCAGTTACTTTGACTTGTATACTTGACCTTACAATCATTAAGATGGTATTTGATGATAGATATTTTCTTAATTGACTCTACCGTATCTTAGAGTTCACACAATTTTTCTCTGAGCGAATTTGTGGGTTAAATTCCATCCCAGTAACAGCTCAGTCAGAGATTCTACGTAAAATGTTCTATGTGCCGTCTTTATACGGCAATACTACCGAGGGTCTGAATTCTTTCTTCGGTATTCCAAAGTAACCACTTACATAAACACCCCTTCTCCTATTAATCCTTATAAATTTCTTAATACGTTTCGGACGGTGGTTGTTAAGACGTAGTATGTCTTTGATGTGTTTTAGTTCCTTATTTTGATCTTTTTAGTAACCAGTCAAATTCCTATCCCGATTGCTTAGACACTGTTATAAAGTCTACCTTGACGGGTATGGGGTGAGATGATGTGAAATCCAAGTATCTATTCGAATGTGTTGGTTTCCTATAAACACTGCTATCCAAGCCTCCATCATCTCTCCAACCGATTTCGCTATCTAACGTAGGTAATTTTCCTTATTCATTTTCTAATTTAGAAGTGAACTTGATTACACCTACTGTCGAGTTATTGTCCACGAGAAAGCTGTGGATATCTTCTGATTTCAACACAGTATATGTGTCATCTGCGTATCACCAACATACTTTTAGGATGGGTTGCAATGTTCCTAATATCATTCGTTCCCAACTGCCCATGAATGTGTCTACTACGGTAGGGGATATTGGAGATCTCATCACTACTCCTTCTGTTTGTTCATATATTTTGTCTTGAAATTTGAAAACTTTGGAAGTTAGACACAGTTGTATCCCTAGCATCAGTTCTTCTATCTAACTTTTACATAAGCGTTCTTTTCATTTATCTAATAACTGAGACTCTTTTATCAGTTTCTAAGACGTAAGATAAACTGGTATCAACAAAACATTTGCAAGCGGTCAAGCAACCATCTACAATGGCATTATCTTCTCTCAAATTTTACTGGTCAGCACGGATATGCAAAGTATTCGAGGTACTAGAAATATTTTCACTCTAAAGACATACCAGGCACTTCCCCCTTACTTTAGTAAATTTAATAACTTCCCGTAAAAGTTTTCGGCTGGCTAATTTCTAAATAGGTCAAAAGGATAACCACTGAATGTAGTAGAGACAGTTTAAGACGTGTAGCCAATGTGATTATTACTACATATAGTACAGGTAACCTTATTATTATATTCTTTGACTGATTCAAAGTTGATTCAGATAACTCAGTTCTTTCTTATTCCAACATATAATTCATTATGCGGGTTTTGTTTCCTAATAATTTTATGATGGAATTGTGCTGGCGTATACATATTTACTTTATATTGTAAGTGGTTCATACCTTGAAATCGAATCTTGCAATAAAGACCACAAAAGTTATTTGAATATAAGATAGTTTAGGGAGTAGCCGTACCAACTTCTTATGATATTGCTCCACTATAATTAACTATAAAATAACTAGTTTTAACATTAAATTCTTGTATTATATTTTAATACATGTATTCATCAAAAGTATGGTAGCTAACTAACATTTCAATCTTCTTCTCTTGGTGATACAAACAACTGACACTCTTCTGTACTTGTTTGGGAATAATTTTCTCCTGTTAACTAAGCCCTACCATTATCGATACTAACTAATCATTATACACTTAATACTTAAGACAGTTATTCACGTATATTGTACAAAATTTTATTTATCTGTAAGGTAAATGGAAAAAAGTTGCACTGATTTACTAGGCTTATCTCGACGACTGTTTGTTACACTAGTCTTATAATACCTTCTGTCTTTAATAATTTTATTCATTACGGTCATGAAATCATATGTTGAAATGCTACATTTTCTAATGATTCTGTCAAAGTACAGCTGGTCACAAATTGTAATGACTATTGATTATGTGTGCCATAATCGTCTTGAGGACGCTAATCAATACAGTTGTGATGCATACTGACCTCACAAAGCTGTATCAAAAGACTTTAACTAGTAACTTGAGGTAGAGTTCCTTATAATTTTAAATATTCGTTGTGGAAACTACTAACAGATAAGAAACCATGACTAAACGATCCATGTATATGGTTGTATATTTTATAGCATCAGTCGCCAATTTTATATGCCTTTACCAGTGGTTTGACATGACCTAAGTTATATATATATGCGAATAACTATATATGAGGACGGTTGTACAAATACCTTCTGATTTCCACCCTTAATAGTCACTCAGTTTCTCTGTAAATAGAAAGGGCGGTAATATAACAGCAAAGTGATTGGTTGATAAAGGTTTCAGGCGTATGCGGGGTCTTATGAAGAGTTTGTCAATCTTTTCAAACACTATAACAGTATATCAGATTATATTGATTTTTATTCCGTATCTTCACTTAAACATTCACCTAATGAACTACATCACGTATAAAAGTAATATACATTGTAATATACATATACATACACATAAAGTAATGTACACTGTTACATTATACCTAAGTTCCCAAGAAATGATTATATTTTGTGATTAATATTTCTTTCGGTATAACTACCTGTTACATACCGCTGTGTCTTGGTTGTATTGTTTTCTCAGAGCTACTAAATCACTTACGGAGAGATATTGACAGCTCACTTCATAATGAAGTTAGTGCTGATGATATCGTCTAGCATGGCCATGAAGGCTTCACGATTAAACAACCCAGCTCAGAGAACACAATATAACCAAGACCATCCACCTGAGCTACAAATATTCTCCATTATACCGCTGTGTAAATGAAGAAAACGTCAGTGCAATACATCAGTAGTCACAAAATCTTGGACTCACTTTTTAATTATTGGTGAATAAACTTCGCTGCACTTTTGCAAATCTTTTATTAATAATTTGATCAATGTTATCAACTCCCCTATTTCATGAGGTTCTAAATCTGACTTCTGTGAAAATAAAATATTGATAAATAAGATCATTAGGTATTTGGGTGTTAATTTCATGCTGTTAACATGATACCTTCAAAAAACTTGTTCATTCAGTTACTATCAGCATAGTGGCTGATATTATCACAGTATGTTCCATATATCCATTTCATGTTAATGAATCAAGGTAAAAAGAAACGAGGTGAAAGTAAAAGAGATAACAGTAATGTAATCAAAGGTCATGAAATATCATATTATGAAGAAAAGAGGAAAAAGTTAAATAAAAAAAGCCAAGTTATAGTATTCCATATAAAAATGCTGTACGGTTCTATCTTCACCACTGAGAATAAGAATGAGCTGTTTCAGTTACAGTCCCAAACAATTGAAGTTGTTAGTCTCTTCGACCTCAAACTATTAGTTCACAATACTTAACATGCCACAGATCAAATGATACTAAGTTCTAGGCTGTCATTCGCTTTCCTTCAATCAATCGGTACCACAGATAAAACAGATGGCTGAGGCAGATGAGGTTTAAACATGCGATTCAAACATCTTAGCTTCCTCAACAAATGAAGGTTTGTAACGTCAAATGACATACTCTGTCACGAAAAATCTGATACTCTCTAATGACTTGTTTTGAGATAGGCTTTTTGAATTTCTAATATGATACTATTACTGAATTCAAATAAGTTAGACACAAGAACAAATATTCACCAACTGCATTAGTTAGTGGTTTCATTAGCTAGGGAATTGGCAGAAGTAGAAAAACGTAAGCTATTGGAATCCAACCAACTGGTTGTATGAAAAGGTGCTTACGGAGGGTTCTCACATTCCTTGGTTCAACCTAACATAAAGTAATGTTTTCGCATTTCTGGTGATTCCACAGCAATAGTGAAACAACTCTTAGACCTGAATTTATAATTAGTAATGTAACCGGTTACTTCACAGTATGAATCCGGAAAGTTCCGATTAGTGCACAAAACCTAAGCGATATTTATGATAAATAAGCATAATTTGTGACACTGCAAACTGATTCACTGAATATTTTGCACTGAATGAAGCTGAAAATCGAATTCAAAATGACAATAGACGATGATCTGAGTGGTTAAGCTAAATCAATAGTCATCTTTATTGGATGATGTGAAGTTTTCAAAACTAGTTGAAATAGTCCTTCAATCAGTCTAAATTATAATCAACCACTGTTCAGTTTATTCGGTTAACACAAACCCTTAATTTCTTATTCGGAAAAATGGCAAATAGGTTCATTGAAAGCATCTTCGGGAAAAAATTGTTAAATTTAGGCATAAATGTGGTTGGTTCATTCTTAAGGTGAAAAGTCAAGTATCTGCGCGTAACTTTTTCCATTATGAAGTTGTTGCCGAATATATCGCCAAGACTTATGATGAGAAATCCACGATAAAATAATAAAGCTTAAAGAACAACGAACCACCATCGTTTTTTACTTAGTTTGACTGAATAAATAATTTACCGTCGCCTCTTAGTTTCAAAGCAAGATTCAAAGTTGTATAGACCATTTACGACACGGATGAAGATATATATATATATTCATGTCTTTTTCCATGAACCTTGTGGGATAACCTTTCTGAAGAGGTACTTTTGAAGGTATTCCAACTCATCATCTAGAGTGTCATTTGTGTATATTCCTCTAGTTTTCCTGCATAGCGAATATGCACAAATGACGCACTAGACGAGTTGAAACGCCTTCGGAAAGTGTTTCAGAATGGCTATCCGTCCGGGTTCATAGAAAAAGCATGGAGCCAAAACAATGACAAGAACAGGTTTTTACTGTTCCTAAGAAGACCTCATACATTTATGCCTGTTTAGTTATCTTTTTACCTCTCACTGTATACATATCTTTCGCACAGCATTATTCAACAAACTCATTGACATTAATTTTAGGTGCCGACAAGCGAGATGTGAGAAACTTCACCGAAATTCTAAAAATGTTACAACAAGTAATGAACAGACTAAAAATCTATAAATCTCAACATAGGTTGTCTTTCATGATTACACAATGTCATAGACTTACATCACTTTTTCCCATTGCTGTGATTTTATGATTTTCATACGTGAATGAATGGATTCCTGAAAGTAATCCAGTAGCAAAAATAAACAAATAATACCCGCTTACTCATCCAATTACTCAAAGTTCACACACTAAACAACACTGAAGTTTACAACAACTCATTGTTCACTTGATCTTCAAATCAGAAAACCCTATAGATGGGTAGTTTTTTGATAGTTTGAAAATAGTTTCCATGATGCCTTTGACGATGCCTTTTTTTTATCTCATAAGGTATATTTTTACTTGTGTAATCCCGGTGTAGTATATTAGAACAGTAAATAACAGTCTAAAGTGTTTCCGTACAGTTTTCAATAAAATATTTATTTTTGAAATTCTGTAATATATATATATTATAGGTAGATAGATAAATATATATGTTTTGAAGCAGTGATGCTTTGTTAAATTCTTCCTATGAAGCAGTGGTAGCTATCATCTCTTTTTTCCACCAAAAGCTGAGTAGAAAAACTAACTTATTCTATCCAAAACAGTAGGATTTGAAGTTTTCAAGTATATCTCATTTAGTAATTTCAAAGAAATGAATCTACTTTCTAGAAATCTGTTTCATAGTGAAAATTAGTTGATGTTTATCAAACATGCTGCTTCACTTTGTTCCTTATACTTTTTTATGTAAAAATATACTTATTGTGGCCTCATTTGGTTTATTTCAGATAAATCTGACTTTAATGAATTGTACATTCAACTCCTTTGTGTATGCTTTTTGTAGCTTACATAGATGCCATTATTCAAAGGAAGTGAACATCAAAAAGAAAGTCGAAAACTTTTGGAAATTTAGACAGACTGTACTTCTCAAACCTCTTGAGATCATGAACAATTCATCATTTTGTAGCTCTTGACAAAGAATTAAAGTTAAGCCTTTGGAATGAAGCACGCTAAAATGGATAGTGATAACGAGAGAAATACCTATATGTCAATAAAATAAAAACGTTTTTCACCCGTATAAGCGATAAAAGAAACTTGACAACATTGAGTGTATAGTTACAACATCTAAATGAGCAAAGTGTTTCTGCTTTTTTCTGCAGTACATTAAGAGTTACTCTCTACCTTAAACGATGTCATGAATTGTTTTTGAAGAGAATTTGAGAAAGGTGAACTAAATTGAAATAGACGTGAGTTATGCAACATACACAAAACACCTTGAAAGGAAGTAAAAGCAAAATAAGGATAAGTTATATACAGATATGAAATGGATAGTTATGTATACAAATTATACCCACTTCCTTGTTAGTAATTGCACTAGTAAACGGGATTAACTTGACGAGATGAAAGCAAATGTATACTTGCTATAATAAATGATAAATCTTAAAGCTGCGAATATCGAAGAGAAGCGTTTCAAATATTAAGTTACAATTAGTTGGAGTAGTGTTATAGCTACTTCTTAATACCTAATTTAAAAAGTTTTTCTCCTCATAAACTAAACTTTGAACTCCCAATTTCATATTTCCTATCAATTAAGTATAAGCAATTTCATAAACAGTGTTACGATTTTGTACTTGCAGTAGACTGTAGATTTTTAATTTTAGACAACATTATCGAGCAAAATATTTTCAACATGTTTTCACATTGGATTAACAACTTGATTAGATAAATAAGAGTCGTTTGTCGCTAAAACTGTGAGTAAAGTGATAAAAATTAACTAATCACTATGCTTTTGGTTATGGTTTATATGAATATATCCTTACAAATCGATGTATTTTTAGTCCAACTGAACACATTTTGACGAAACGTTTACCACTTTTGCGCTTTTAAATTTTCTGGAAAGACTAAGCTGTTGCGTAAATTCTTTTTTTCTGACCTACCTTTTTTCTCATTATCTGAGGTGTTTCACTTCGACTAAGTTTCATTTCATTTACAGAAAACTGTTTACAATGAATTACACCTACTGGTCGTGAAAAGGTGATAATTCATTTAACATCTTGATTCACAAGGTGGGAAGCTATATGGAAGCAATAATTTCTCAGTCAAGAAAATTGTTAAAAAATCACTGCTTTATGCTGGTTTGTCCATCGGATGTCATACAACAAGGCAGTATTATTTACAGAATAGAGTATAAGATTATTTTGTACCATCTTATTTATATGATAATGCACACATCTATTCAACAAAAATATGAAGAGTATAGTCATACCTCAATCCGCATGTTTGACTGTAATGTCTTTTAACCATCAACACGTTGCTATTTTTCGATTATTTCCAGGATAAGTTTTTGCTTCTTGCTGATACTAGTGATTCAGTATTAGCTAAGGATCAAAAACCAACAACTAGGGAAAAGTAGCTGTCTGGTGCTCTCCAATTGATATCAGCCTGTAATGGAAATTATCTTGAAACAAGTCGATCATCACAAACCGGTATATCGATGCAATACTCGTTTTAATGTGGAAATCAGCAGACAAACGGTAAAACTACTTCCAAGTACTTATTTATGGGTTTTCTACTTATTACTCAGTAATAATTGGCTAGATTGAATAGGTAGGAATCACATCACGAGTGTCTTTGTATTCTGAATGAACTTTATATTTCGTGAAAGGAATCTAACTGATACAGCTTGAAGCCACAGTAAAAAACATCACCATTACGTGGTTAGAGCTTTGGCATTTTGTTGCAGAATAAATCTTGTCAGACAATATAAATCAAACAAAAGTGTTGGTCATGGAGAAATGTGTATTAAGAACTTCATCCACCTTCGAATAAATTCGGTTTAACAGTGTTGAATTACTTAACCTAATTAACACACCACGAACTTGATTGAAAGCAGACGGATTGGTCATTCAGGGAAGATAGTGTAATGCAGATCACTTTGCAGTGATTAGTCAGCACTATTGTTAAAATATCCCTAATCGACGCAGAAGCCATAAAATAGGTGCCAACCTAACGTTTGGGAATTCTAAAAACTAACACATTGAAGCGAAAATATATATGTTCTAGAAACAGATACACTATGAAATATGACTTACTCCAGCAAATGACTGAGGTCCAGCAACTTTTCTGACTGAAGACTTTGGAAGACTAAGTGAGAGCGACATATCACAACTAAGGAATGTTCTGTAAATAACGTAAAGGCATCTGACAAATAATTCAGCTGTAATATAAAACATAACGAATAGAGGAAAAGTGATGCGTAAGAATTGCGAAGCCTAGTTTTAATTAAACTAAATCTGTGAATTGATTGCTAAGCATTTTCTGTCTCACTTGTAATTGAAATAATCAGAGCATAAACAATAACAAGAACCAAATTACATGCTCTAGCTTAGACAGAGAATCCTTGTGTTCCTATTTTTATGCACTTTGATTGAGTTGGACAAAACTCAAAAACTTTTATATAATTTGTCGCGTTTTGTAATGTTGCTCAATCATGTTCAACAAATTCTAACATCTGTCTGAGGATTTAAAATATAAGGTTAACCTGAATTCGAAACATTCAACAAAGTCATCAGGCTTAACATTACTCACATGTCTACTGCAAACTGCACCACCAAATGATAATAAAAATCGCTCTCAAGTTACTGTTTGACATAACAACGCAAAATTTCAGAAATGCTCTCAAATATCCATTCACTGTATATCTTATTTTCTCCTAAATTATAGATTCACTTGACCCACATATCCACAAATTCAACACAAACGCTTTCGGGTTCGCGAATGTAATCGCATTCTCCCGTAGCATATCCGTTGAAAAGTATACTTTATATGAAATTGTGTGCAATATTCCTTCAAAGTTCTTATCATTATTATTTATTACCTGCCAATAGGGTTTCTATTGGAACATAAGGTTTCAGTAGCACGTCGCCATTTCACTCTCTTCTCTCCAGTCTTTTCAACACGGCTTCAAGACTGCCCACAAGCTTCCATTTCTTCCTCACACCATCTCCTCCATATCACCCTCAACTCGGACAACCAACTAGTCGTTTCCCATAAGGGTTCCACTCGACAGCTGGACTGCCCTGAGACATGATGTCCTCGAATGGTCTTCTCAGTGTATGTCCAATCAAATCCATCTACACTTTCTTCCACTGCTTATTTGTTGGCCGGTGAATTCTTGGTTGGTTCGTTGCCAGCCAGTCAGAGTTCCTCGCTGCTTATCCTTATCATTTTGACCATCTGATCTGATCTGATCTGATCTGATCTTCAGTGTCAGTATCGAGTGAACTTGTTGGTTTTGCCTGTAGATCTTCGAGTTGTTGTGATGAGACATCAGACATAAATCATCATTGGTGAGATCCGAATCTTCTCCTGGGGTCTTTTCATCGGTCCAGTTAGCGTGTGTCCATCTTCTCACAGCTCCTCACACTTGTTTGTTGCACCATCCAGTCCATTTCGGTCGACCACAATCAGGGAGATCATCGGTGATGGTAGGCGGCAACCTTGTCTTACTCTCTTCTGTCTTCACTTCAAAGGCATCACTGAGCTTTCCACAGTCAATCACTTTGCATGTCTCATCCTCATGTAGCATATAGAGTTGTTGAATGAGGTTGATAAAGGTTTGTGGCACTAAAAGCATAGTGTTCAAGCAGCTACCTAATTACTCCTTGCAAACACTTAAGTCTCCTTTCTTTGGGAGTTTGACAAGGTAGCCCTTCTTCTGATCGACAGGCAGGTACCTTCCATTCCCTCCCTCCCTCATTCCAATCGTCTGCAATAGTGGTGTGGGCATGTCAGCTGCTGTCTCTGCGCCTGTTTTCAGTGCTTCTGGAGGAATTCCATGTATTCTTGCTGCGTTCTTGAAGTTCATCAGCTGTATGGCGTTCAGGAATTCACTTCTGCTTTTGTCGGAGGGCTTGTATTCCCTGATAGTTCCGTGGCTGGGCTGCTGGTGGTATTTGTCAACGAGTTGCAGGTGATCGTGGTCAAATCAAGAGCTTTTGATTTGGCCAGCCCATCGTTCTATCTGTTTCTTCTCCTCACTAACTAGGTTTCCTTCACTATCTTTCATTGGCTTCATGTGTGCTGTGTTGATCTCTTCCTAGATAGCAACCTAATTATTTGACATCATGTTTTCAGGTGGTCTCTCTCCTACCTGCAGCCTGTTCTGCTTCACTTGCCAATGTGTCGTAGAAGTGTCTTTTGTCTTTGCACACACTCTCCTTCACTTCTTTGTCCAATGTAGTGTTTTATAGGTCATTCTCAGTCCCTTTTTTTGTCGTTCATCCAGGCACTGCCCCGGTTCCTCTTCTGCTTCACTATCTTCCTCTCCCTGCTCTATCAGCTTCCATGTGTCCATCGGGATATATTCTACTGCTTGTCTTGCCTCTTGTTCTTTCTTCCTAACACGGTTATTCAGGCTTCCTTCCACATATAGCTTTCAGAGGGTTCCAGTGTTCTTCCACACAGGTTTCTTCAAGTATGTTGCTTAATGTCTCTCACTTTGTCCTGATGAATATCTGACGTGAAGATGTCCCTTGCAGTTTCGTCCTTCAGTTCAGTTTCAATTCTGAGTGTCGAACGTGAACTGTGGTCTATCACCAGCTTGTTTGAAGGCTTCCGACTTGATTCTGAATACAGGTTCCTTGCACTAGATAGTGAGTGGTGTGAAACCATATCTCCTCCTCTTCTTGATCTGATCTTGTGTGCAGTAGGCTGCATCTCCACTTTCTTTAGATTTGGATGAGGTCGATCTGATTTTCAAAATGTCCATCTGGTGAAATAAACGCGTCTGGTCCACTAGTTCACTAGTAACTAGCCGGTCCTATGCTTGGATAAAAAGGGAAGTTTGGGCTTAGGGCTAGCAATCCTACTTTGGAGAACCAATCCAACTGCTGAAGAAACTTCAAAACACAATCTGGGCAGCCTTGCCAGCCAGCTTCAAACATTGTGCAGACATTCGATTTTCCTATATTTACTTTTGTTGTCATCGAGAGGAGACAAGACATATAAGCCAATTGTCTTCCCGAAGGCTTTCACCATCTGGCGTCACTTCGTCACCCCGATTCCAGCTAGGAATAAGTTTATTTTTATTTTCAGTATTTTCTTCGTGCTCTGAAGTTTCTCTGGCTATTGGATTGGTTTTACGGGGTTGGGTTGCTAGCCCTATGCCCAACCTTCCCTCTTTATCCAGGCTTAGGACCAGCCAGTAAACTAGGCCAGGTGTATAATTATGAAGGTAAGCATTTACACGTTTAAATTTATCCCGAAATAATCTTCAGAATGCCACTTCAGTAATAACTTAAGTTTGCAACATTTAGGATTTACGGCTATCATGGAGTAGATTATATATGCCCTACCTGACTGAATTCAGATAACCTCCGAAAACATCCAACTTTTTGACGAAGTATCTTCCTTTCTGCTATTCCATTCTCAAACTGAACAGTAGTCAATTGATATTTCTCTTGTGTTCGGGATCGGTAGTTAAAAGATATTTTTCATAAATGGCAAAATGGCAGCACACGCGTTGACACTATTTGTGTTGCTATATTTGACCAACCAATTTTTATATAGCCCCAGTTGCTACTTTTGCATATATTCACCAGTGACTTCAGATTTCATCCTTAATAGTAACTCAGTTCCTCCGCAATGGAAAAAAGGCGGTAATATAACAGAAGATCCATTTACAATGTCAACGTCAACATATAAACAAAGACAATGTTTACATATATTACAAGGGCGTAAGCTATTTTCAAGCCCACTGGATTTAAATCCAATTGATTTTTAATCTCTTCAATCAACCTGACACTTGTACGTTGGTTCACGTTTCCCGAAACTAAGAAGCGACGCGATTGGTGATAAAGGCTTTAGGCATATGCGAGTTCTTATGAAGATTTTGTCAATCTTTCTCCACACCATAAAACACTTTTAATCATCAAACTCTAAAACCAGTAAAATATATAAATTTGTGGTTGTACAGCTTTGTGAATGAAATTGCCGAAAGTAATACTTGGTCTTCTTGCATATTTCGATGGGTATCTTCTGCACATTTTTCAGTTTTAAAACAAAACGTTTTAACAATTTAGTATTGTAAAAAGATAATAATAATTACCTCATCTCTGGTTAGTGATTTATCTGACCACAGTGATAATAAGCGTTTGAATGTGTGCAAAAGTATAACTTGATTCAATGATCTGATGCAATTTAGGCGAGTTAATGCAATCCACTGACTACAAATCAAAGAGAAATACAGACATGAATGATTTTTATGATATTCATGATGACTAAAGCATTAATATAACAGATAATTTTCGGAAATTACCTTATAATACTGTTAGTGCAATACTTGAGGGACATTCGATAAATGGATAGTGTAATGACCATCCACCTGAGCTATAAATATTTTACGCCATTTCATAATAATATTGAGGGAGTTAGTCTTATTACTACTTATTGATGTACTTGTAATTCTTTGTTGTTTATTTACTTGATTGAACTGTTCGACCTCTCTTGGCATATGGGCTCCTATAAGAAAGCTTTGATAATGCCTGAATGTTATTTATGGTAATTTGGTTGGTTATGGCTGATTCTGGATTCCTCTGCTAGCCTTGACCAACCAAATTACCTCAGTTACTCTTAGTTTAAGAAGTGTATCGAATACACTGACTAAAATAGTTTCAAATGGTAAAACGTCACGTGTGAATTGTATTGATTTTTTTAGGAGGCTATTTCATTTTTCTCTTGTCCAGTATGCTTGAAAAGTTTCCCTGAACCTCAGTGACTCAGTAATAATCAACACAAATGACATATTTATCGGTCACTGATACTTTTCCAAAGTATTAAAGCCACTCTTTCTTTTTGAAGTGGAAGATGACAAGTTAGTCAATTTTTTTCAGTTGAAATATTTTTGTACATGAAAGTATCGTTTTCATGCAGAAGTTCAAAGTTTAACCGAGATATTCCGGTATACTTGTGTAGTCGATCACCTTTTTTTGACTATTGAAGGATATCTGATAGATAGTCAATTCAAATAATATAAACACGTAGGAAACAGATACAGGAATGTATCTAATTGTAAAGCAGTAAGCTTACTCACTGTAAATTAGGAAATGAGCAAGTATCAGAAGGTAAATTTTTGTTGGCTAGCAGCTTGTGAAGAAAAACCGCAGACACTACTTCTCCTAGTTAGTTACAAAAAATAGCATCAGTACGGAATTTTGTGCCATCTAAGCAGAAAGTGATTATTTCGCTTCCTACAAAATTCATACGCGTTGCACGTTTTATATTATTCACCAGAATACAAAATTTTCTCTAGATTTCAAAAGTTTTTATAGCGGATGTTTTTAAAACAACGAAAATCATGAAAACGATCAGAATTCACCTCCCCCCTTTTTCCATGTGGTCATCTGCTTGATGGTTTGTTGAAGAAGGGGAAAAAGGATTTAAAAAAGTACTGAATTCATCAAGTACTCACAGGTGCAGGCGAACTGCTACCATTGTGAAAGTATTTTCTTATTTAGTCCACTTTAGATGTTTGTGTGAATATTCCCAAAGTCATTTAGAACACTGACTGATATGTTTATGAAACGGGTCAGCTTTCTCTCATTCTTATCAACCAATAAATGTCCTTCAAGCTGGAGTAAGACTGTCTAGTTTTATGTAATGCTTTAGTGGTTGTTTCAATGTCTACGTTATAGCTGGTTGCTAGTATATGTTTGATAATAGAAAAAATGGCCTTTCTTGACCTGCACTTTTAGGATCAGTAGTCATTTGTTTCTGAAGCTTCTAAAGTGGATCATAAAATACTACCTGAACTGATTGTTCAGGACAACATTCTATCTACAATGAAGGTGATCAAATGCTTATCTTTCTCTGAATAACGGAACCGGTTGCTAATTAACTATCTACTTTAGATATAAAATGAAATACTAATCCTTCAGTCGATCATCTTGAGTTCTTTGCTCCTTTCTTACTTACAAACTGAAATCAGTTAGTAGTTTCCCGATCAAATAAAAAATAACCCACCACATTGCCATCTGAATTTCTGTCAATCCATTTTGAACAGCATGTTGATGAAGTATGATTTCACCTTCGTCAACCAAATTACCATCCCATGAAATTCCTGTACTCTAAATAATACAATATTTTTTAATGACCCCATAAATCATGTACAGGTATATGAATTATATAAAATTTACTATTACTTAATTGCAAACAATGAAGAAATCTATTAAAATAAAGAAATAATAATTCGAAACTAAAATCCATTTCAAAGTGTGCGTGAAGTCTACGTCCAATTTTTAATTGTTGCACATATATGACTGAATGTGATGAAATAAATCTGAAAAATGGATTGATATTAAAACAACAGTTTTATTCTACCTGTTTAGATTCTTAATTTCAAAAATCCCTATTAGTTAAACGCTGAACTTGAAAACCAGTTGTTGCATAAACATCACTGAACTGTTTTTATAACTTACAACCTGAGTGTATAGCATTTGTAAGTCCTCTGATCATAAGTATACCACTGCTTTCCAACTACAGTTCAAAATATAGTTGAACACTATGCAGAGTTCTGTATCTTAGTGAACAAAAGAACTTTCCTAAACAAGTGTTGTTATTGATGGCCCAGATAGTCGAATGCTAGTGAAGAAACAGCAGCATTCACGGGGAAAATATATTAGGTACGATCGAGACAGCTGTTAGAACGAAAAATATCAGGCCTTCGATTTTTACACTTCAGTTTGCATGAAAGTCTCAGAAATAAACTTATTGCAATAACTTTAAAACCTAGAGTACATCAAATGTTACCGGCGGTTAATTCTAGTGCGGAATCTACCTATTGTACTTAGCTAAAAGGAAAAATTAACATTGTAAGTAATTTAAACTCAATGCATGAAGTGGTAACACACATGAGTGGTAGAGTTTGTGATCGTGAAAAATCCAAATCAGACGTTTGAAAATGAAAAAAGTTCTCTGAAACTTATTGCATGGTATGTGCTTGTAAAAAGTCAAATTACAGATGAGTTATTTTCTGAAAATATACTGGTGATTGCTACATTTGCTTTAAAACGTTACAAATTGCTCTGTCATTAGTTCGACTAACATAAAAGTTTACGGACAAAAAAGTATTTGAATAAATGAAACTCATTACTTAACTATGGACTTTCTAACGTGCACAATTTTTGTTGCAAAAATGGAATCGAATCACTTTCTTCGACATCATACATTTTATCACTCATTTTACTGCATTTATTTGCACAGGAAAGTATGTTTCAACTAGATATTTCTCGACATTTTCTAGAATAGTTGAAATTATTACTGACATTACTGAAAGTCACTTTAATAATAGTTTTGGAAAAATAAACCCTTTATGGAAAAAAGCGTTGGTGTATCAAATATGTTGACTAATCTAGTTGTGATCCAACATTAAATTCAAAGTTGAATGAGAACTTTGACGCTACTATAGTGAACGTCAGCTGAACACTGAATTATTGCTTTGAAATTAAAATTTCATATCTGCTGCTATCAAGTGAAATACTTTTGTTCAAAAGTTGTTACGGTTTTCTGTTGTTAGTCAGTAACCCTTTCACAAAGTTTCAGGCCTACAGAGATCACCAAAAGAAAAAATAACTAGTTCTACTATATAATTAGCTCAAAACAGCAAAAACTGCCCTCCTGAATTCAAGTCAAGGAGGAGTTACGAAATGTTTCGTGTAACCCACTAAATGGTTTCCAACATAACAAGCATTATAATCTAGTGAAATGATATATAAGCAATTATCTCGAAATAGATGCATACTTGAGTCAATAATTCATTTGAAACGATAGGTGAAAATTTTAATAATAAATATTTCAGATGAATATTTCAACTCAGCTTACGGTAATGCTAAGCGTTTTTCCCCTTGAACCACTGCAATGATTTGAATAAACGCAGTCTAATCAATGTCAGTAAGTCATCTTATTCATAATTATTGTAAATACAGTACGTTCGTTCTCATAAGCTTCATTCATTATGATAACATGACATTGTCTCCTTCATAGAAATATAAACTGAAAAGCATTCAGGGTCCATCTAGTCATTTATCTTCACTTTTGCAGCGACCGATACTGAATTTTGATTTAACTAAGAGAACTGAACTTATAATATTTTTAGCATGACAACGTTTCGATTTTCATTATATTGGTCACAGGCCAACTTTCTTACACAATCACTTTTTTTAATGCTGCACAGAAACGCATAAAACTTTTCGTGACCAGAAGAAATTAAATATTCACGAAGAGAAAATTTCTTTGTGATCACTTTCAATAATGTGTGTTGTGTGATTCCCGAATTGGGAATAAAAACGAAGTCATAAAATATACAAAATTAACTTTCATCTATTTATATTTTAAATAGTTGTGATAAACTTTGCGTGTTGTGGTTCAATCTTGCATTGATGTAAGCTTACAGTTAAGCACTGATACAGTGGACAATGCATCTAAGTGCATTATTCATGAAGATTTCCAAAGTGATGATGCAAACTTTATTACTGTGAAATAGGATTAAACTATCTTAATCCAATTCTGTTAAAATATACGTGTAAACCTCTACTTATCTAAGCACCACAGACAGGTAAACGCAATAACTTGCAAAATATGAAGGGAAAATGATAAACTTGTAATAAAAAACTCAGTCTTTTTCACCAGTAAAAAATATGCGTATGTAACAAACCTCGTTTTTTTTTCTCCTTTTTCTTACCATATTAATGTCAATAAACAACAATCAGACAGAATTAATTAGTTGAGTAAGTCCTTGCTATTTGCTAAAAATACTAAATGAAAATGCAGGCTGATATTTATTGTGGAAGTCTGAATAAAGTTATTGCAACTTTTCATGGAAAGAATGATTCCAATCAAGAAGTGAGATAATCTCAAACATGATAAATATGTTATACAATATGCAGGAAGATGTCAAAAATTACTACTACAAATTAATTTTTTTAAATATCTCATAATATCCAAGAAATCAAACCTGAACAAGTAATAGGCGTTGAAAAATTATATACTTATGGGCACGTTAGTGCCTATGGTGAGATGTCCAGGGAGCTATGCTCATTGAGTGATGTCCGTCAAGAGTGCCCACTCCAGGATTCGTATTCAACGGTGCCATGGCCAACAAACAGAGAGTGCAGTGGTTGAATGTATCGACCTCTTCACTCACCTAGGAAGTATGATCAGCCCTAGTTGCTCAGTAGCCGATGAAATCTCTGCACGAGTACAAAAGACTCGACTGGCTTTGGCCAACTTATGCCACCTGTGGCGCCGCCATGATATCCGATTATCTATTAAAGGTCGCGTGTACTGCACAGCAGTCCAATCTGTTCTATTGTTTGGCTGTGAAACATGGCCACTGAAGGCGGAAGATATGAGAAGACTTCAGGTGTTTGACCACCGTTGCCTTCGTAGTATAGGACGTATTCCGTGAAGTCGCCAAGTGAGTAACGCAGAAGTCAGGAGTAGTTTTGGTGAGAAGAGGTAAGTCAGTCGACGAGGTGGTGAACCTTCATCAACTGAGATGGTTGGAACACGTACTACGTATGCCAGTCACCGATTGCCTCGTCACACAATGTTGACCGAAGTAGGTTCGGCCTGAACAAAGGACCGAGGTGACCAGACCAAAACATGGCATCAAAGCATGAGGTCTCTGACTGTTGGTTTGAACCATGTGGGGCGATGCAGACTAGATAGTTGGGGTCCGCGAGACTAGAGAAACCAGTGGTTGGAGACTCTAGGCGATATGGCTCAGAACCGATATCAGTGGCGCAGATGTATACATACACTATGGTCATCTTAACGCTTTACCGAATCTCACCACTTTCTCATTCTTTGTTTCTCTCTTTTCGTACTTTATATTTCTTCTGACTGCATTCTCTTATCTTCATCTTGCGCCTCACTGCCTTCTTACTTGATGTACTGATATGAGTGTGGCAACTCCGACCGTGATGCAGTAATGCCTGGTCTTATGGTGATAGATGATGATTCAATGAATAAACTGCACGATCTACTTTGATGTCTTTAACAAACGGACAATTTTGTAAACCAGTTTACTCACAATGCCCTTTTCAAATGATCGAAACGGTCATTTTATCATAACGTATCCACATCGAATGAAAAAATTTGAAAAAGGCGCAGTTTTCTATAGGTCTTCGATTTTCAGATATTGTGAAAGTGTTCAGTTCCATTTTGAAATCTGTTGGTACCTTACAGACAACCTATTTGAAGACGAAGAACACTGTTCTGTTTCAGAAACATTATTTGTTACCATGATCTCCACTATGGATGTGCAGTCACAAATTCATTCAAACCTTCATTAAAGATTTCACAGTGGTGAAGTTTCAAATTTTGACAATTTGCTATGTTCAACATCAGTGGTTTCTTTTGATGAATTAATAAGCACCATATTAATCACATGTCTTATCCCGGATATCAACTGTTCTGCGGGATGTAAACGTGAATAAATGAAAACACAACAACTTAAAACATTAAACTGAATGTAAAGGTCTTTGTGTAGAACATCAAAGAAACGATGATGACACACAAATCAAAAGTGCATACAGGCTCAGTTTGAAACCAATTTGGGGAACCGGACTGAAGATAGTTATTTCATAGTGAAAGGACACTACTGAAAATGAATGAAATTTTAACGTTTCTTTGCGGTTATCGTGACTTAAATATGTTTCAAGGCTAATGTCAGAATGAAAATTTAGTGTTAATTGCACAAACTCTTTAAGAAATATATATTTACCACCTTCACATTGATATAATAGGTTTCGTTTCTTCAGTAAAAAGTAATATAGCAGCTTGTTTCATACTACTTGAAGAAATTTCAAAGCTTTTATAGAACTACGTGTTTATCAGGTGATAGCTTCTTAAAACACCTGAGAAATGCATCTGAATAATATTTAATTATACTATATTTTAGTTTGTAAGTCATATGAACATAATTTTGTTTGGTGAAATAGAATGTATATTTTCCGATAAAATGAGACTATGATAGAATTATTGGTTAATAATACAATTTTGATAAGTTTCTCATAAATCGTGCAGTTAGCAAACTATTTACAACTCTCTTTTGAATTTAGTCATGTAAATTGGCTAGGTCTGGTGTATGATAATTGCGTTGTTTTAATTGCTTTGTTGAATCTTTTGATGATTCCAGATGATAAAAAATTACATAGCAATATGTGGCTACAATTTGCTAGAGAAGATTAAATTCCTACACGCGTTGGCACTACTAACTGACTGACTGAAAAAATCAACGTAGAACCTTGCATATAGATGCATTGGTTCAACTTGCCACACTTCACAGTAGTACAAAAAGAACAGGTAGATAGAAAAAGAGTGATATTAAAATGGATAACGTTGCATGACAGAATAAACAATCTGAAGATGAAGGTTAATATGAATATTGAAGCTTTAGAACATTTCAGTGAGTGAATACATCTGCTTCACCGGCACCGATTTTTAGCCATGTCGCCAAGAGTCCTCAACTATTCTTTCCTTTCGCCTCGGGGACCCCAACCAGGCAGTCTACAACTCTATAACTGGCTCATACCAACAGTAAGCAACTTCATTTGCTCGCATCAGGTCCTGGTTTGGCCACCCTGTACCTTCTTCCAACTTAATCCAAAGTCCTTTAGTATGACACATCGAGGTTGAAAGTGGCTCGGCGAACTCACCACACTGCCTTATCTTCAATAACGAATGACTTGGTTGTCGATTTAGTATTACCATTTTAAAAATTACATCTCGAGTTTTCTTCCACTAGAATAGTTTCCCCCTAAATGATAACCGTACGTATGAATGAAACTCAAATAGCATGATACGCAGGCAAAACAAATGACTTGTGACAGACGATTCGAATAGAATACATTAATTTTAATACAGTTATACTTGATAAAACCAGGAACAAGTATTTGCATATTTGGCCTGTTAAAAACGCTACAAAGCGTGTTCATAACAATATTTTCTAACCTGAATTCGACTGATCATTTTATTTCATTCCTTTAAAACAATTTATTCCCCTACACACTTCAGCTTGTTATGACATGGTAAAAAAATGTAACGTTGCTTCCATTAAGAACTCTTACTTGAAAATTTCTCATTTAATCACGTACTCTTTTGTTTGCGTAATTTATTGGGTGTAATATGGACAGGTCATTTAATCAACTCAATTCAAGTAGGTTAAATGAACTCTTGGTCAACTCTGTGAAGTTACAAAAAAAGAATGAATTCCTATTGAGTACTGAATTCTTATTAGCCTATAAAGCGCAGTCCAAGTAGTAAAATGTCACCGAAATATTGACATTATGAACACGTTGAGGATGAAAATATTAACAGGTCACTGCAATAAGTTTCTTTATTCAGTTACTTCTGTGTGTCAGAATGCTGTTATCCATAAATCCTAATTAAGTTCTTTTTGTGATAATCTATGTGCGCATAGAAGGGCCTATCAAGATCAAGAATCTGTAAAGGTTTTGGCTTGTTATAAATCCCAAATGTATTGGTCAAAGTTAAATTACCACAATAAACCTGAAGTTTTACAATGCTGTTTACGTAAATTGAATCCTTTCCAGTGACCAGTCAGTGTAGGTAATTCATTTCCCCTGAAGGTCAATTCTGGCCCAAGCAGCTCAGTAATAGCATTTCTATCTGCACTGATGGATGATGCGGATTCGAATCCCAGATGGCATATCAGTACATTTGAGATTGCAGGCACGTCTTACTGATGAATGTCAAAAAACACGAAACCTAGGTCCGGGATTTCCAATCGATTGTCTTCAGTCAACTGTCATACATTCTCACTGTAGATCATGACAAGTTGTGCTTAGTAATATGGGGTACCTTTTGTTTTCACTTACTTAGCTTATCCGACGAGGGCCAGTCATTGATTAGTGCTCAGGGATATGCTCGCATATTTGTTGTAAATCTTAAATATTCACTTTAAAAATTATCAATTATATCTCTAAATGCCGTCAAAATTCGTCCTTATTGAACGTTTTCGGTAAAACAAGAGCGAACATGTCCAACACTTTGAAAAATGTTGAGCTTGCATATTAATCAGTTTTTAAATCTTAGCATATTTTATAAAACCGACTACTTGTAGTCTGTAGGGGTAAGAAATCACTAACATGGGATATAAAATAGTGTTTATATGAAATTACTAATACTCACATCTTCTTGTTTGATTTGGTGAAGCATGAATAAATAAAACAACTGAATGTGCTCTTGAATCGCCACACCTTTATCACTTTCGAATTCGCTTACATCAGATTGTGCACTTAAACTAAGTGATAAATGAATTTCACCTTGAACCTTTGAACGATTCGAGCGACCTTCTAGTTTGAACCAGCGATCTAAACCAGTAGACGGTATATCCTACAATAAAATCAAAAGGATACTAGAAATCAGTTGATAATAGAAATATATTTAAAAATTATATTGCATGTGAAAAGTTTTCAACATTTTTGATGCTTCATATGATAACTGTACTCCTTCAGTACTTTTATTAATAACGAAGAAGTGAAATCAAATCATCTTTAAATTTTTTTGCAGAAAATCACTTTCTAACTGACAAAACTTGGATTGCTATACTTCGTTTCATAACACTATTTAAGTATAGGACACCGAATATTCAAGAAGTAATTTGAATACTTCATTGAACTTAAACGAAATAATAAGTTTCCAAAGAGGTAGTTATCAGTACACTATAGTTTAGTAATAACTTGGCTGTTAGAATCCAAATTAGGTACAATTTTGTAGAAGGCAGCCATTCCGCCTTTGTTATATGGTTTCGACGAAACGTAGTTTTAACTCTGATGAGTTACTGGTACGGTGAAACTATCCTAAAATCAAGCTACTTCTATTTTACCTACAATGTAGTAACTTCCAACTAAAATGCCTTATTATAGCGACATTGACTTGTTCTCATCAAGTTTGTTGATAATAAGTCAAGCAGTCTAAAACGTTTAATTTATAATAACATATTGGTTACCTACATATTTTTGAATACACTCCTGACATTCTGATACACTCGGTGTTAAAATTCGTGTGAAAATGATGACAGACGCAGACGTTAGACTTTGTGATAGCCCATAATTCCATGTTAGTTTGTGATTTAGACATTTAGCTCAGTAAAACAGTATTAGACATTATATGTTAATACTTGTAATTATCTGTTGTTATACTGAATCTGACTGACCAGTCGCTATTTGTATATAGGCTGCAGTTTAGATGCCTTGGTATCGCCTGAAAATGTATTGCTGTAAATGAATTAGCTGTGCCTAGTAGTGGAATAGTGGACAAACGTTTTGTCCTATTTGGATCCCGCTTTAGCGCTCGAAGTGATGTGTATGAGGTTTAATTCTCAATGAGAGATATATCACTCAGGTACACCCAACTGACTAGTCCCAAATAAGAAGGAAGATGTGTTCTGGATTCCGCTGCTAGTCAAAACCAAGACAGTTATAGTACCAGACACTATTCAAAAAGTTAATAAATAATTCTGTTTCACTGTGTGAAATATTTAGTAAACAAACCCGCATGTAATAGTGATAGGCATTCATTTTTAAAATTTGGTTTGTGGCTGCAAGCTTATTTCCCTGTAGAGGTAATAAGCATCTTCTAGTGAATTGACAATGAGATCATACTTCGCATAAGGCTAATATTTGAGCTGATTTATTCATAACAGTCGTTCGTACGATTTTCTAGGTGTAATTCTATGAAAACTTCTTTTCTGTTTGTCTCTGTTGTCCTTCATCTGATTTTTTAAAATTTCTCTCTTGAGTAAATCCGCTCACCGTATGCTTAATTCTATTTCTTGATTAAAACTCAGTAGGGCACGAGTGGTTTTGGACATTTTTTGTCAAATATACCCTCATAGGAATAGATCATCTGCCAAAACTGGCTGAAAATAACAAGTATTAACTTCACTTTGACAAACTTGAAACTGCTATTTCAGGAAACAATATCTATTGTATACTAACAATTTTGGCTAAAGAATATGTAATCAGCTGGCATATTCTCAAAGTCACTACAACTCCATTGGTCACTTTTTGCATAGATCACAGTAACTAATTATTAGTGTTCATGCAGTTATATCTAAAATGACTAAGTCCTTTAACTATGTGAATTTATTTCATTTAAATTTGTTTGTTTAGAGGTGTCACAAAGTGAAACAGTATTATTTATGGGTGAACCTTTTTTGACACAGTCCGTTGTCCATATTAATAACCTGTGTATAATATTATTTTACTGTGTGACATCTAATAAATAAACTAAGACGGAATTATAATCTACCCCAATCCGCAAGTTTGACTCTTGCATAACCTGTATTTATAATTTCATCTGAATGAACCATTACAAATTCAGTTCGTGTTTAATTTTCGTGAATGCTTTCATACAAGTTTCTATGGATACTTTGTAAATTTCTATTTCACAGTCTTATTTTTTAGAAATGGTTAGCTAATTCAATCAATATTCTATCTATAAACAATTGGAAGACAATGGTAATCAACAGATTACCAGAAAACTGAGTCTCAGCACGACTTGAACTAAAATCACATTTGAATCCTCTTAATCACCCACCTTATTCCTAACTGACCTAAATGCTTATAGACAGAAAGATGACAACATTGGTTTATTGACTGCCTGCCTCCAAACTTAGACTGCATTTATTCCCAGTATTTGTCTATGTACTCTTCTATTTGTAGCATGTCAAATATATTTCATTATTATCATTGCATTATTACACTACGTATTATATATTACGTCTTAAGCATTACCCATTAATAGATCAATGACTGAGTAAGCAGAGATACTCATTATTGTACTACTGCTAGTTGTCAAACGCTTACATGACAAAATAATTCTATTCATAAAAGGAATCTGATATCAAAACTTGTGAAAACATAAGCTAGGCTGAGCACCTGAGAATGCAGAAAATCAGTTACTGTTATACTATACACTACATCATACTTAATAGCAATCTTCACAAATAGAACATTTTCAGCATAGAAATGACGTTCTACGTTTTACCTGATACATAGTTCAACATTTAGAGTAATGTTGTGAGTGAGGAGAAACAATTCAATATTTCTATTTTTTGCTCAAACATCCTTCCCGTCAGTATCACTGAATGTTCATGAAGCTGTACACACAAAATAGTCATAACTCTCAATTAACATAACATGTTTATCACATTAACTAGACACAGAACAGTTTTATTCGATACTTAAGTCTTTAGTGAGAAACGGAGGTAGAAATACACTGAATTCTAATATATATATATATATATATATATATATATATATATATATATATATATATATATATATATCCGGACTTTAAAGTGAAACCTACTCATGAACTTCACTGAGATGAAAAATGTGTGTTTTCATCAAATGTCATTAGAAGTCGAGCGTACGGTTGTCCTACACTTGTTGATACCTTAATTTTTGGAATAATGGAGATGGTTTAGGATAGATTTTAGTTCAAGTAAATGGGATCTTCATTTCTGAATGATGATAAAACACGGTGAGTCAGATTTGTATATAAATCACTTGAATTGGTTATATATTTCGTCAGAATGGTGACTTCCATGTTGTTAACCACAGAAAATTAACATTTGGGTTGAATGTTGCTAATTAATTCGTTTAGTGCATCAGATTCAGATAAAAAGTTCAAATGAGATGTATGGAATTATAAAACTCTTGTGTGCAGTCTCCAATAAGGATTGAAATAATATTCTCATTTACATACATTGCATGGTTTTGCTACTCTCCTGGGCAATCCTGGTTTGTCGTACCTGACTACTAGCAGTATCAAATCGGCGACTTTTTTAACCAGAGTAAAAAATTTCATATATAAATAAGACAAGGGATTTGACTGGAATGCATTATTTTACAGGGCTTCATCTTAAAGAAACACATTTTTAAAGTGCCAGACTTTACTGTTAACATTATTAAGTATCTAAACACTGAAAACATTCAAAAGTATCAAAAACTGAGGAATACAAGTAATAAAAGAAGAAGAAGGAGATTTAAAAGCTTTTAATTTGAAGGAATTACTAAATGAAATTCCTTCTGACAATATCTGTTATAGTAGGCAGAAAGATTAACAAAATCTTCATAAGAACACGCATAAGCCTGAAACCTTTATCAAATAATCACTTCGCTTCGAAATTTCGGAATAAAACACGTGAACCAACGTGTAGGTATCAGGCTGCTTGAAGAAATGAAACATAATTCGAATTTAAATTTGGTAGTCTTGAAAATAGCCTAGACCACTGTATATATATAAAACTTTGTATTTTGTATATACTGTGGATGTTGACGTTGTAAATGCACCTTATGTTATATTACCACCTTTTCCATTACAGAGAAACAGAACGACTATAAAAGGTGAAATATGAAGCTATTTGTACAAGCGTCCTCATATATAGGTAGTCCGCATACATATAACTCAGGCTATAATCAAGTCAACCTCGCCTGGTTAACTAGTTCACTAGTTACTAGCCAGTCCTAACTAAGCCCGGGTAAAGAGGGAAGGTTGGACATACTGCTAGCAACCATACCCCGTAAAACCAATCCAACCACTAAAAAAACTTCAAAGCACAAAAGAAATGTGAAAAATAAAAACAAAATTATTCCTCGCAAGAAACGGGGAGACGAAATGATGCCAGTTGGTGAAAGCCTTCGGGAAGCCAATCGGCCGGGCCGATGTGTCTTCTCTCCCTAGATGAAACGAAAGTTAATGTGGGGACATGGAATATCCGCACAATGTTTGAACCTACCAAGGCTGCCCAAATTGCAAGGAACTGAGAAGGTATCACATTGAAGTGTTAGGAATCTGCGAAAGCATATGGAATGGGAGTGGACTCTCCAGACTGTCAACTGGAGAATCAATAATCTACTCCGATATTGTCACCCAGACGACAACCACGAGCACACTGAATTTCCGAGTGGCTATCATGATGTCCCCAACAAAATCGAAGGCTCTCATGCAGTAGGAACCAATCTCCTCCAGGATAATGACAGCAAGGTTCAACTCAAAAGGAAGGAAGGTTACAATCATCCCATGCTACACTACGCACCTACAAATAATACAGATGAGAAGAAGGAGGAATTTTACAGACAACTGCAATCAGCACTCGACAAGACCTCAGTTGGCGACATCGAAATTCTAATGAATGACATGAATGCCAAACTGGGAGCGGAAAACACAGGAAAAGATCTAACCATGGGTAGAGAAGCACTTGGTGAAACGAACCAGAATGGAGTACTGTCTGCAGAATTCTGTGCATTCAACGATTGCCGATTGGAAGTAGTGTGTTCAAGCACAAGGATATTCACATGGAAACGACATGGATTTCACCAGACACCAGGACACACTGAAAATTAGATCGACTTCATCTGAATGTGAAGAAAATGGAGACGCAGACTACTTGACACAAGGTCAAGAAGAGGAACAGATGTAGGCTCAGACCACTATCTATTGCAAGGAACCTTCCAAATCAAGTTTAAAGCCTTCAAGGAAGATAGTGATAGTCCACAGTTTAAGTTCAACACCCGGAAACTGAAGGACGAAACTACAGAGGACATCTTCACGTCAGCCATCAAGACTAAATAGGAGATATCGAGCAACATCCCTGAAGGAACGTATATGGATGAACACTGAAACTTCTTGAAAGCTATGTGGAAGGAAACCTGCATAACCGCATTAGGAAGGAAGAAGAAAGAAGATAAGGAATGGATTTTGACGGAACATTGAAGCTGACAGAGCAGGGAGAGGAGGATGGTGAAGCAGAAGATGAACCGGGGCAGTGCAGGGATTAACAACGAAAGGAGGAACTGGACACAACCTATAAAACACTACATTGGACAAAGAAGTAAAGAAGAGCGCGCAAAGACAAAAGACACTTCTGCGACAAACTGGCAAGTGAAGCAGAACAGGCTGCAGGTAGGTGAGATAGAAACCTGACAAGATTGTATCAAATAATCAGATTACCATCTGGGAAGAGATCAACACAGATGAAACCAATGAAAGATGATGAAAAGAATTTAATTACCAAAGAAGAGAAACAAAAGAAACGATGGGCTGACCACTTCGGAAATCTCTTGAATCGACCACCGTCTGCACTTCGTCCAGAAATACCACCAGCAGCCCAGCCACACAACTATCAGTGAACACAAACCCTTCGACAAGAGCAGAAGTGAAGTCATGAGCCCCATAAAACTACTGAAATGCGGGAAAGCAGCAGGATCAGATGGAATCCTGCCAGAAATACTGAGAGCAGACGTAGGTACACAGCCGACATGCTCACACCACCATTGCAGAAGGTACCTGGTGATAGGAAGAAGGATTGCCTTGTCAAACTCCCGAAGAAGGGAGACCTAAGCCTTAGCAAGAACTGGCGAGGAATCACTCACCTGTCCACCCCAAGCCAGCAAAAAATTAAGTTGCAACATCTTGGAGAGGCTTAAGGATGCACTGGATTCAAAACTGCAACTGGCTTTAGGAAGTACAAATCATGTGCAGACCAAATTGCAACGCTTCGCATCATCATAGAACAGAGTATAGAATGGCAGTCAACTCTACACCTCAACTTTATCGACTTTGAGAAGGCCTTTGACAGCGTCGACCGAGAAGTAATTTGGAAACTGCTTCAATACTACGGAATATTGCAAACCTTTATCAGCCTCATTCAACAACTATATGAAGATGCTACATGCCAAGTAATTCACAATGGGAAGCTCAGTGATGCTTTTGAAGTGAAGACAGGAGTGAAACAAGGTTGCCTACTATCCCCCATGATATTGCTGATTGTAGTGGACTGGATCATGCAGCAGACAACGGTGGGGAGCGAGAAGAGGGGGATACGCTGGCTGGACTGCGGAAAAGAAGCTAGAAGATTTAGATTTCGCCGATGACTTATGTGTAGTGTCATACACACTTAAAGATCTACAGGCAAAAACTAACAAGTTGACAGAAGAGGCCAGATAATGATAATGGGACTTCAAGTGAATATAGAGAAGACAGAGGTGATGAAGATACCTAACCAACAACAGAACCAAAAAACTGTAATCACCATGAACGGGAGAAACTTAGAGGAAGTAGCCTCTTTCACATACCTGCCCAGGCAGCACTGTTTCAACTACAGGCAGCACAGGCATAGACGAGAACGTCAAAGCCAGCCAGGAAAAGTAAGACAGGCTTTCATCAGCCTGAAACCAGTGTGGAGATCTTCTGCACTCAGCACAAAGGACAACATGCGGGTTTTCAACACCAACATCACTTCAGTGCTCCTGTATGGCTCAGAGACTTGGAGCGTTACGAAAGGCATTTCCAACAAACTACAGACATTCATCAACAACTGCCTACACTGGCTCATTACTGAAGCTCAGATGGCCAGAATAACAAGAATAAGCAACAAGGAACTCTGGTTGGCAACGAACCAACCCATAAGCTATCGCTCAACAAGTATGCGGAGGAAGGAAGTGGAGATGGATTGGCCATGCACTGAGAGGCCGACTGCGGATATCACGCGTCAGGCCATATGCTCGAGTGGAAACCAGATGGAAAGCGACGAGTTGTGCGTACGAGGGTGACATGGAGGCGATTTGTGAGGAGGAAATGAGAGCTTGTGGGCTGTCGTGGAACCAGGTTCAAAAGTTTGCTGAGAACAGAATGCACTGGGACGTGCTACTGAAGCCCTATGTTCCATTAGGAACCCAAGGGACAAATAATAATATAATCAAGTCACTGTAAAGATACACAGAGTGGTGACTGGAGGTATATAAAAACAGATATGAAGCGGTAGCCTGTCTTTGTAATAACATTAATTTCAATATGACACCGAAATGGGTGTCGCATCCGTTCTTAGGAAGATCATCATATAATTTACAGTTGAAACATCATATATTGATGTTCATTTTAAACGCAATTCGGGTTATCATAATGCGTTCTATTTATGATTAGTTAGATAAAACATTCATATACTTAGCATCACATGAGTAGTATCTCTAGTTTTGTCACACGGTTAGTTTATTTCACCAGATTTCAGCTAAAGCCTTCACTATCACAAACTTTCATCCTTTCGTCATCAATATTTCGTCCTATTTATTTGTAGCCACTACATTCACTTAAAAATGGCACAATTAAATTTGGGAAGACCAAGTGAATAAATAATAAAACTTTCTAATAATTTAGGCATAAGAAGCTGATGTCCATGAAATTAACACAATAGAGTTAAACCAACGAGTGCTGAAGGTTTATTGCTTGTTATATCCTGCCTGTTTTGGAAGATTTGTTTGTGATTGGTGAAATCAAGTTTAAATATTTGTATATTACCACTTGAAATTCCAAATGATTAAAATTTTCTGCACAAAATATGTGTGAAGTTCTTGTACTAGTTACACTGAAACTGCATATCCTTACATCTGATTCGCAGCTCTGAGGTTACTTACTTACTCTGCTGTACCCATCAGTGGCCTGCTTTGGGTGGATTTCCTGAAGTTCCAGTACCAGGCGATAACCAGTGACTATATGCCCATAGAAAAAAATTATGTTTACCAGTTTACTCGTAGGTATTTTAACCAGTGTTTCTGAATTGAATTACAAATGAGGAGTTTAATGCAATATTCTTTTGTCATCATCATTTCTCTTTTCCGGATTCTGCGATAGCAACCATTCGGATTTAAATTATCGAGTTAAGTTTTTATTTTCTACAGTTTTTATGCATTTATCTGATTAGAAATAACATAGATTGTCATTTTTGAACTCACCTTTATATCGATAGTAATGCAACCCAGAAAATCGTCCATATCACCACTTTGATTTTTACGTGCAGATTGACTAACTTGTTTAAAATAACGACCTAATTGTTTTACACCACGGATCTCATTTAAACTTCGGACTGCTTCCAATACACTTGTTTCTTCATCATGATCCCTTGATGCAAAACATGAAAATTTGGAAAGGCTTTTTACACGTTTCTGGACATCAATTTTAATTTTACTAAAATATATTCACCTTTTGACTTTGAGTTTATTCATTAGGTATACTTTATATAACTGTCTAACCTAACAAAGATGATTCACTCCATAAACCTATACGAGTCACGTAATTTTTCAACAAAAAATCCGTTTCATTCAGCTTAGTGTTCTACTACAAATCTTTGAGCATTGTTGTCGTATTTCCTTGCATTAAATTTCATTTTTAAGATCACTGAGTGATCATGAACAAACAATGAAGTACTAAACATGACTGTGTAGTTGTACTATTTCTCCATGCTATCTATCAAGGCGAAAATAACCAATCAATCCAACATCAAATTATGACTTCTTTGATTTTTTTCTTTCCAGCCACTGAGAATACTATTCATTGTTAAGGAACTCTACTCAAATTTTTGGTTAATGCTTTCATCTGTTTAGCGTGAATGTGGGTGTTTCAAGCTAACCCTACGAAACAAGAATCATGTCACGCATTAATTTCTAAATTAGTGATGCTATAAATTACAAACGAAAATAGACCGATTATTTACAGTGAGGAAAAAATCAAAAGCTGGTTTGTTTAAACTTAAAAAACTACCTTTAGGGATGAAACCAACGTAATATGCATATTACACGTAACAGGATGTATGTGGAAAATAAAAAGATTGCCTACAAAAACTGCAGTTGCATGTGAAAGTAGCTCATTGTACAGTGCGTAATTATTTGCATACTGAAGATGTTTACACACTGTCGAGTTTAAATGTAATATTTGAGGACACTAAATTGGCTTACTTAAGCTACTTATGACTGATGATTATATAACCATGGATTCTTGCCTGCTCATAAAAATGTCAATAAAAGTCTAATTTACAAACAAACATGAAACAGATAAGTTTCAGGTGAGAAAAATGAAGTTATTATATGTCACTTCAGTGCAAACCGAATATTTTGGCAGTAATAAGCAATACTACAGAAGTTTAACTACAAAAATAAAGAATTGAAGTAAAATATTGGTGGTTACGCGTGCGTTTTGCTGTTCTAGGGAAAATTCACAGATCAGTTAGCATAAATTTCAGTCTTTCCTTTAGTTGTCATTCGTGTTGAGTTCAATTTACCGTCACTTTTAACTAGATATTCAAATATGCTAATTGTTTTTTTGACAATCGTTAACATTTAAGCCACATGCCTAGAAATTTTATACACGGAATATATATGTCAGAAGACTACACCGCCATTTGATTTATTTGGTAATCTTTACAATTCAGTATTGATGTGAAATGTTTTAGTTTCATTAGTGGTTTTTAAGTCCTTTGTAACTTTAGCCACTTTTACTGCAATTAAAAGTAGAAACCTACCAAGTATACTGCTACTTTTTTAATCTATCAATTAAAGAATGCGACGGTACTTTCTAGGTATAAATTATCGAGTGTGAAATTAGGGAAGAGGAGCAACTTAAAGCACTGAAATATATCGATGGTCAACAGCTTTACTAAAAACCCAACACTGTATTGCAGTGTGCAGTTCTGATGTGAAAATTCAATCTGTCGTAAGGAAAGACTGCAGTAAAATGTTGGCTAGTATTCAGCCAGTGGTGCACGTAGGGATGATATATTAGTTTTATTATTATTGGTCCAAGTACAACACTGCATACCACTTATATATATATATATATATATATATACAAAAATCTATTCTTAATGGATGCAGGAATGTTAATGAAGAGCGGCCCAAAAAAGTATTCTCTCTTTCAGTTCATTGTTATCCCAATATCTAATGACATATTGTTACTCAATAACTTCACTGTTACAAGCATACATTCAATACTAGCCGAAGAATTACAATCCTACGTTGGATGGGATTCATAACTGTTAAAGTACAGAGAAATAAATGAAAAACGTAGGCAGTTCTCTTTGTTATTGCTTGAGATGAATCATGAAGAAGAGAAAGAAACTAATTTCTCACCATTTGTTAAGACCAGAATAATTCATCTGATGAAGTAAATTGTTTTTCAACATTCTATCCTGCCAAGTGGGAAATCTACTACATATTTTATCTGCAGGTTGAAAAAGCGAACATCTGGAAAGAAACTTATGTCTCTGTTAAGTTTTACATTATTAAACTCAAGAAATCATTGAGTACAAAAGGAAGGCTTACTGAAAAAGTCACAGTTTATTTAATTTTTGAGCACGTGGAACTTTACAAGTGATTTCGAACTTTTGACTCAGGAAATGAAATGTAATAAAGAACTGGAACATTATGCTAACCACAAAATTTAACTTCTCTTTCAGTGCAGTCGCTGATGCACATGAAGAGTTACAGATATCGAATTGGCTGAGCTACTATTCAGCTTTTGACAGATTCGACAAAATGTACGTGGTCAAATTTCTTACAGCGGTCTGTAATAACATCTCTATATATTAGGATGAACAGTTTGTTAAAGGCAATTGGTACAACTTGAGTTGCTGTGGACATATTCATCTTGAAGCTACATAACACCTGAAATGTTCACTCTGGAAAATTAAGACAAAAGGGACACTGAGTTCACCTTTATCTCTCTGTCCAAACGTGAAACGGAGTTTTTATTAACTCCCTGATGAACATTTTCGTTTAATTTTTGTAAAGTAATACACAACGTATAATGGTGAAAATTCTGTATTACTGTAACTATGTGGAGAAGCAAGCATCATTTTGAATTCTTGCCACTTATAAGATATCATAAAGATGTTGTTTGTTGTAATCAGCGAAATTTCGAAACTGCACGCAATGTGAATAGATGGACATATAAAAGTCTGCTCATCACGGATTTCTTCATCATACTTTTTTTTCCAAGTTACTAACAGCTAAAATCACTTAACATCTCTTCAGTTATTTTAAAAAGTTAATTGCTATGCATCGATAAATGCACGATATCCTGTTTCATCAAAACGTTTATCTTCCTACCTAGTAAATGTACTAATAATTAAAAATGCTACTCGATGAAATCACTTTACGTTCCCTACTTTGCTAACAATGCTTAAATAAACAAACGCTAGGTTATAATGCTGCAATAAGACGCTACGGTAAATTCTTTCCAGACATACAAGATGTTAAGAATAACCAGAAGTAAACAGAACGTGAAGTATGCAGACGAAGACTGTCACGTAACCTCTAGTTGAAAGACGGAGTGAAAAAACTTTATTATAACAGTATGTTTTAAGGTATATTTGAATATTATTTGATTGGAATTCAACTTTATCACTGTATCAGTGGTATGCAAAGTATTTCGTAACCAGGTTCATTCGGGTAGACGAAATGGGTTCTGAACGCTGATACTTGTGATCCTTTGAGTTTTGAGGGATCAGTGTAAATCTCTTTATATTCAACAATCCGAACGTAAGGTATCTAGAAAATATATTCATGCATTTCATCACTAATAGAAAAAGTTGGTGACTAGATTTCATATCACACAGTTAAGCATGCCTGCGTTTGTGTGCGGGATTCCTTTTATTCAAAGGTTTATTTACTCCTAAGAGAGCAGCATGAATCGTCTGAAAGCATTTTGAGCGCCAGATACTGCATCCCATCATAAAAGTCATGGCTGCAGATTTTTTCCACTACTTTACAAGAATTTTCAGCTTTTATCTTTGTCCAGTCGATGCGTAAACACTTCATGTTTAAAAACCATTTACATGATATTATTTAGTTTGTCAGTGTCACGTTCACAGGACAAACCAATGAGCTTCACATAGAGAGTAAAGTCACTTAATTGGAAATGAGTTTGAAAGCGGTGAACCTTCCATCAATAAAAACAACCAAGTGACCTAAGTATGATCATTTAATTACATTACCTAGAGATTTTGTGCCCAGTGTTTAAAGAAGTAAAACATATTCACTTCAGAAGTCCATTAGTTATGATAAAGTGAGTGTCCTACACCCTTCGACCAGTGGCGTTTGTTTGAATTATACGATCATCTCTAGTTTAACTTCCTTACGTTTTTATTCATAGGCGTGCTCCAAGCCATTACCTAAAGTTTGACTGATTTTTTTGGTCACTAGATATTGTTGAGCATAGAATATGTAGTGCTAAATTTGATGAATCCATTTCTTAATGCTCAAAAAGTAGCTCCCAACGTCCTCTGACCTAGTTGTACTAAATAAAATGCTTCTGTGAAGCTTTTATTTAGATTGCGTTCACCATATTTTTGGCACATCAAGATTTTTTAAAACACTTCGTGAAATCTCATTTTACACCTTAGATATAAATCAAATCAGCTCCTTTCTTTACTCGCTCTAGGTATGTATGGTGGGCTAAAATCCAATAAAACGTTTATGCCGCAAAAAAAATTGCTTTCTTCCGTTGCCTTTGTAGGTTGTTTCATTTACATGTTTAACTTGATCTTCTTAGCCCAATACCTGATTCACACTCGCACGAATTGTCTAATTGAGGAATTGACAAACATTTAATGCTGGTAAACAAACTGAGTAGGTACAATATGCTTATGATGATTTGCAGATTTCTGTTGCCGTTTCATTACTTTGAAGTACATTCCACCTAAGCGATCTTCTTGGAAGCACCATCTGAAAAAAGTGTGGCAGGCAAAATAATAAATGGACCATCCAGTGCGCAAATCAGTTGCAAACTGATCGTCCAATTTTACTCCTCATAATAAACTGAAGTAGGTCTTCGATGTTTTTATAAACAGAATTGGAAAAACTATGGAGGATTTTTACATGCATCCTGGATTTCACTGCTAGCCACTATCCATCTTTTAAATTAAACTAAAAGTTCTAGAAGTATCAAGACATACGCACAGCAGCCCATATTCCAGTAGTGGCCGATACCAAATCGGTTCAGTCAGTGACGGAAAAATACAAGACATAAGATCCTAATAAATTTCTGACAGTTCGAAGTATCGTGGAAGCCGCTTCTTCTTTATTCTCTGGCGTCCATATACAAGCTACTTCTTCAATCATCATGAA